TCAGCAAGTTGGGCAGCACTGTGGTAGGTTGGTTAGACCTTTGGTCTGTTGTTTTAAATCCCAGATAGCAACATGGCTTCTTTATACTTGACAAAGATACCTCATCCAAATTGTTTTAAGAAAAGTCATCTGCATGCATAGTTACAAATTATATTGTCAAAAAACAAGCAATTAATTGAATCCTCTGTAAATTACTCCGGATGAAAGATCAATTGAGCAAATTAATGTTGTATAATAAAACATTGTGTGCAGTTATACAAAGTACTTAAACCAAATAGTACACAACTAGCCAGGAATACGCAAAATAGGTATTTCCCTAAACCTTTGTATTCCTGGTGTCAAAATGTCTAATGAGTGATGCGGCCTGGGTGGTCTATGATTTTAATTTAAGGGATTACTGACATCTAACAAAATTAAATTAAGTCTATGGTAATTTAAACAGATTCCATATATTTTCCTTACCTTTTCTCTTCTTAATTTTATTTTTTTCAATCCTTATGCCTTTGTTTTCTTTCCGTTGCCAAACAGCACTGAAGCCTGCTCATTTTAGACCACAGACATTTTCAGGTTTTGCTATCAAAAACTGCACATACTGTATATTTAATATATCTTCATAAACAGTAACGAAACAAAAACGCACCTGAACCCAAATTAAAATAGACATTTTAAGAATGATGAAGTAACGCCAGCCAATTGATCCATACTTCATAACTCAAGGTTCACTGAATGTATTGTATTTTCATTTTACACTTGCTTTGCTTCATTGTATTTGCTCATACCCTAGCCATCACAGTTTCTTATTCTGGCAGCTGAGCCTCTAAGATAATATAATTGCAATTCCAAATCACAGTACTTTATTTGAAGTGCTATGGCCAATAATGATTTTGTAAGTGTCCTGTAAGAATAACAATTCCGTGCCTGTGACATTTGAGCTGTCCCACAGGACACTGATCATTGTTTTCTGATACTACAATGCTTTATCTCTTGGCAGATAGTATCCCATTTTATTCTTAACATTCCAATCAGGTCACCATTATGTTGAGATAGAATACTTGAAGTGGGCACACAGACTCATTTTTGAAAAGCAAGACATTGCTGACATTTACAGTGCCTTGCGAAAGTATTCGGCCCCCTTGAACTTTTCAACCTTTTGCCACATTTCAGGCTTCAAACATAAAGATATAAATTTT